GAATAAAGATTAACACTGTGGAGTCACTGGAAAAAGAAACTTGATAAGCAAATGAATAATGAAACAATTATTTTCAAGCCCTCTAGAAATATTTAATTTCATGCAACCACTGAAACTGCAAATTGTTCTCAGTCATTGTGAAAGACACTGATTTGACTTTGGCTCTAGTTATTTACACTTAAAAACAGTAAGGTTATATTTTAAAAAAATATATTATTCAGTCACACTTTTCCAATACTCAGGCTAGCCTTCCCTTTTCTGGTCAAAGTTTCATTTCACCCAAAAGGTAAAATGTATTTGAAGGATGCCCATAGTCTGAAGAACAGTACAAAAGCAAAATAAATAAAACGCACTCCCATTTCTGTTCTCTCTAGAATTTATCTCATGCCCTCTAGAGAAACGTCCTTTTCTTTAAGCCAGTAAATTTCAACAATTTTTGCTTATTGTTGCTCTCTTTTCTCAAGCTAAACTTACCCATGACTCCATTATATGAACACACAAAACAGCTAAATTTGGTAGGCCAAAGATTCTGCATGGCGCTTCAAGACCCACTCACATGTGGAGAGTGGATTGTTGGTGGGTCACGATGTACAGATATACACCCTTGCTCTCCAAGGCCGTTCAAGCTACTATTCAGAACCCTGTGGGAGTGCTCAGGAAGGGCACTGCATCCGCAGTGCTGTGCTTAGGGCTTCCTCCCTCAGGAAGCTGAACTGGTGAAGTTTCTCACTAGCCCTCTAGACTACTTGAGTATGAGAGCAGCAGCTTCTGTGTGATAATCATGATCATATTAGTGACTGATATTCTTTAGCTCTCTGAGAATAAAATACAATTTATAACATACAGTATACAGTTTAAGACATTTGACTTTTGAACCCATCTTTCGATTGCATGACATCAAAATAAGGACTATCTGTATCCTTATTTCACAACTGTAAATGTAAATATTATTGCCATGTTACAAAGGAAAATGGAGACTCAGAGAGACTAAGTTATTCAAGGTCGCAGACTATCTATAGAAAGTGAAGTGCCAATATGAGTTTGTATAATCCCAAATCCATGCTATTTCTACTGCAACACACTGCCACTCAAAGATGACACAAAGTTTACCATGAAGGAGCTCACAGCCTAGGACCCTACAAAATCAATAAGGCAGACAGAAAAGGGTATAATGTTTGAATACTATACAACAAGAACACAGTCATACATTTCTTGTGTAATAAAGCAAAAAGAATGTTTTTAAAAGCAAAATATAAGTATCACAAGAAAGGTAGACATTAGATCAGAAAAAGAAAAGATTAAGAAAAACTGGAAAAGACATTTAGAAAAGATAGCGTTCTAGGTGTTGAAAATAAATATGACTTCAACATTCAGAAGTGGGATAGAACACTTCAGGCAGGGGAAAGAACATGAACGAAGACACACAAAAAGGAAAATACAAGGCATATATGTAGAACAGCAAATATTTCAGATCTGTTAACACAGTGTTTCCTACATTTCCCAGATAAGATTTCCAGTGAATTCATTAAAAGTACAGATTCTCAGGTTTCTCCCTCGGAGATTTTGATTCAGTAGGTGTGAGATGGGGTCTAGGAATTTAATTTTTTTTTAAAGTACTACAAGTGATTTTTTTATTACTAAGGAAGTTTAAGAAGCATTAGACTGAAGGACAGAGTTGGCAAAGGGGAGTCGTGAAAGAAGAAGCTTGAAATAATAGGCCAAGGAATTTGGCCTTATTTCTATAGTCAACAGAAAGCAACTATAACATCTTAATCAGGCTTCAGGAAGACTATTCTGATAGTAATGAGTGGAAGGGAAAAAAGAGAAGGGAGATGGGAGACCAGTCTGTAGACTAGGGCTGCAGCCCAGGCTAGAGATAATAAAGCCTGGAACAAGGGTAATAGTAAAATAAATTAAAAAGAAAAAACAGATTTGAGATACGCCATGGATGAAAAATTGGTAGAACAGTTCAACTAACTGGTTGTGCAAGAAAAAAAATAAGAAAAACGTCAAATAAATCTAACATTCTTCTTTAGGGGGCACTGATACCAGGGAATTAGAAAGAGAAGTCACAGAACAGGGAGAAGTTTGGGAAGAAAAGATAATGAATTAAGCCTTGGCTAGGGCTTGGGTAACAAGTGAGATATTTAAATATAGAGATGTCTAGTAGGCAGCTGGAGAAAAGAAAAGCAAGTCAGCCTAGAGATACAGATTTGAGAGTCTGAAACAAACATTTGATAATTTTATCACAGAGCACCCTCAATGTAAAAGTCAGACAAGAGAATTATGATGACACCATACTAGAGTTATCCTACTTATTTGATAATGGACTGTGGGTTGCAATTTTCTTGGCAGAGAGGAAAGAATTTACTTGGTCTTTCTACTGTTTAAAGTGTTTTACAGGTTTAAGAGCAAACATAAAAAGCAAGCTAGAACTATCTACGGTGGTATCTTTCACATTTCAACCTTGTAGCAAACACAAATTGCTTTTGGAGTATCCAGTTCACTATAATTCAGTAGAAGTTAAACATTATTTTTTTTTCTTTTTTTACTTTGTGCAAAAGTAAGCAGCAGGAGGAAGATATGCTTTAAATGTTTAAGACATGCTGTTGCTACCAATAGAAAAAATTCAAACTAATTTCCTAGTAGAGTCAATCTCAAAGTAATTGTGCACAAAAGTTATTTTAGACCAGAAATTTAATTCAACAAAGGATTGACAGAAAAATTCCTTTTGCCTACACTTGCTCTACAAGGCTGCTAAACTTAGTACTATCCAAGACCCTACGGAAGTTAGGGAAGGGCGGTGGGCCGACTGCATTGAGCTGCCCCCCACCCCAGAATGCTGTGCTACCAGTGAAATTTCTTGCCAGCCTTTTAGAAGGAGGCAGCTTTTTTTTCCGGCCGCACCGCTTAGCATATGGGATCTTAGTTCTGAGACCAGGAATGGAACCTGCGTCCCCTGCAGTGGAAGCTCAGAATCTTAACCACTGGACCGCCAGGGAAGTCCCTTAGAAGGAGGCAGCTTTTGCAGCATTCAAAATCACATTAGACGCTTTAATAGCTATAGAAACCTAAGGTCAAAATTCTGATTCCACAACCTCCTAATTACACAGTCTTAGGTAAGCAGCTTAACATCTCAGTATTGATTTCATCATTTACAAAACAGGAACAGTAACATCCATATCACATGGTTGTTATACAGATTACATAAAATAAATACTTAGCACAGATAAGAAGAAAAATCATTACAGCGCAGTATAACACGTGTTTGATGGCTCAGCCTGGGTGAAAGTTGTCTTGGGGAGGGAGGTAGAGGTAGTGAGGAGTTAATGATGGAGGTAAATTTTAAAAGGAAAAATAAAAATTAGCCAAATAAAGGAGAGCACACACTCCAAGCAAAAGAAAAAAAGGGGTGGGGGGGACACTGGGGAAGGCATGGATATGCAAGGAAACTTGACATCTTCACAAAACATCAGTGAAAAGGAATCCTGGCAATTCCCAGATCTAACATTCATGATTTTTTCCATTTACAAATATACCTGCAGGATCATGGCATACAGTGAATCTTTCATTTTGATTAGGGACAAATTTGAATCATGAATAATATAAGACTAGTATACTGACGATGACTTCTGAGATACCAGGGTGACAGAGTGATTGGTGATGTTGATAAGGAATAGGAAAAGGAGGTTTTCATGTAAAGATGGATTTAATTTTGATATCTAAAATAGAGATGTTTCCTAAAGGCAACTCAGAATGAGGGACAAGAGCCCAGAAGAAATATTTGGCCTTGTCTCCTAGAGTTCAGAATGTTAGTATACGTGTGGTAACTGAATCCATGCTATCAAAAAGATCAATCAAGGATACTGAAGACAGCAAAAAAAAAAAAAAAAAAGACTAAATATTTCTTATACATGTCCATTTTAATTCAGTTTTAATGCAAGGGGTATAAATAGAGTGCTTACTATATGCCCAATATTAGCCTACCAAAACCAGGCTCAACGATGAGGGAAGCATGTGGATAAAGAAGTAAAGACAAGGGTAAAAATAATGTGCTTTTAAGTCGATGCTATTGTAAGTGTCAGTAAGAAACAGGTGACTACATCAAGCAAGTAAGGTAGTACTAGGCTACAGAGCTTTAATTACATACTACAGTAAAGACTTTGAATCTTATCCTTTAGGTCTCAGTGTTCACTAATTTTTAAGAAAGAAAGACATACAAAAAAAAAAAAGACATACGAAAATTTGGGGGAGTAAAAACCCTTGAAGATGATTTTCTTGGGGCATATTTGTCAGAATCACTGCTTTAAACAATGGTGGGGCACTGTAGGTGTTTCAGCAATGAGTGCTGTGATGAAAGTGATATTGAGGAAAACCATACTTAAAGGCCTATGGCGAGCATTGGTGGGATAAAGGACAGGAGGCAATGTATAATCTTGAGACATGGATTTTATAGTGAGACAGATGTAGGTTCAACTCCCAGCTCTAGCTACTTATTAGTTATGTGACTTTGAGCAAATTACAACCTATTAATACCTTAATTTATTCATAGGTAAAATGGGAATGATAATTCCTATCTTAAAGAGCTGTGATGAGAATTAATGAAATGATTAAATACATATAAATAATACTAAAATGAATACAAGAGCTTTGGTCTGTCACTGTTTATTACAGTAATGATAATTACAAAATCATCTGGCAATCCAATTAAACCAAGCATAATTAAAATCTGAATCACAAAATTAAATCATTCTTTAACTCTAGTTGTAACTGATTTTTAAAAATGCCAGATTAAAAAAAAATAACTATCTCAAATCATCTCAGAAGTTGCAAATATTATGGACCACAAATCATTTTATGAATTGGTTCAATGAACACTTACTGAATGTGTACCATGTAAAACATGCGGTGCTATGTATAGCAGGAGTTTAAAAAATGAGTGAGATATAGACCCTAATCTCTTTTATAATTCAGAACAAAGGGTAAATTAAGAGTTTTACCTGACTAACTCGATTTACTTCCTCCTCTTCTTCCTCAGCTTCCTCTCCAAATGAAAGTAAACTAAAATTTCTGATCAGAAATAAAGAAAAAAAAAAAAGAAGGAAAAAAGAATTAAAGAAAGAAAATTTAGGAAGAAAAAGTTAAACAAAACTTATAAATATCCTACTTTCAAAGCAATAGAACCATTAAATACACTAAGTCAAGCATGACAGAAATAATTAAAGCTTTTTATATTTACCAAAACTGGTGAGCAAAATGGGGACTTTTAAAAAACTAATAAACATATAGCTCTGAGAGTACTACAAATGGGAAGCAATTTATCTAGTGTCTGCCAAAACAATCTTAATATTTTAAAATTAATAAGTTAAACAAAATTGTCAAAAAAAGCAATAAATTTAGCTAACCAAATGGTACATGGGAAGAAAAATCAAGTTTGTCTTTTTTGAGCCTTCAAATTAATATATCACAAGGAAGATAAATAATAAGTTATTAAAACTCTCCTTTCAAATATTGGAAAAATAAAAGATTTGGCCACAAAAGAGGAATTTCATTTCAAAACTTAGATATAATCAATAACTACCACATCATCCCTATTATATTTGCTATGAATTATAAACAAAAACATCCAACTTTTGGGCTTGTTATTTCTACTCTGATTATTACTTTGTGCCTCTGGGTTTCAATTTCTTTACTTCCTCCTCTGGTTTCTCTTTTTTTGGCTTTTTTATTTCTCTTGGAATGATGTCATCAAAAGGGTTAAACAAAACCTATGGAAAGAAATATTTTGAAAACATGATTCAATTTTATAAAATTTCACAAAAACTTAAAACCAATATTTAATTATGTTGCCATTAATGTCTATAATTTTTCCTCACATAACCACTACAAGCATAATGATATATACTTCCACTTACATGGCCTCACTGGATTCTCCCAGTAATCCAATATGCTATTAAGTAAAAGGTATTTTATCCCTATTTTACAAAAGGGAAAAATATTCAAGAAAACATAACACATAGTAAGAGAGACAAACTCAGGTATTTTGACTCCAAATCAAATGCTCTAAGGTCCTTGCTTCCTCAAGGAAGAATCACTCTTAAATTACCTAAGATATCACTTCACTGGGCTAAATAAACCTAATTCATCCAGCTTTCCATTATGAGTCCAGTATTGCACTCATTGGATTACCAGCTGAAGTTTTATCTTTGAATTTGAAATCTTCAATTAAAAAAATTCTTAATCAGAAACTGTGACTAAATTACAGAGATAAAATCTAAGTAGTGATGTTAATTTCATCTGATAATTTAACAATACAAATAATCAATTTCTCTTAAGTGATAATTTAAGTAATGTATCTCATAATAATCATGCTCCTACCTCACAACATTTTATTTTGTGTGGATTACGTGGTCTTTCTTCATCATCAATGTCTACTTCTGTCAGTCGCAGCATGTTATATACTGTATCCCCTGTAATCTAACAAATAAAAAAGAAAATTTAATTGAAAAATAGTAAATTCATTCTTTGAAATAAGGGAGGACTTTTGAAAATATTTTTTAAATAACTGAAAGGGAATTTCATATTGTTATATAAGAGTATATGCATTAAATAGTATAAAAAAAGCAACATCATCCTAAGGGGAAAAGGCATTGATGAAGTTTAATCCCTCAGTAAGATTTCTGAGAAATTTCCAATATATACTTAATGTCAGTTTTTATTAAAAATATAATGCCAAATAACCTCCTTCTGAATGACTACTTTTTGTTCAAACACTATAAACAAATTTACACTTTAGAATAGGGTAGAACAAGCAAATAACAATAACAATGTGGTAAGTGCTCTGCAGACATTATTAAAGGCATTCTCCAAAGAGATAAAGTTAATTGTTTTTAGAGGTCGTCCCATGTCTGCTAGAGTGGGCTAAATACATATTTCAGGGAATCCTATACAGAACATCCAATGATTCCACTTTTGGTTTGTTTTACTTTTAGTAAGGTTACAAAAGAGTAATATAACCCAGATAACTTCTAAGCCCTGGAAGTTATATCAAATAAAAGAGAAATGGAATTTTTAAAAAAGACATTATCTCATTTAATCCTCAAAACATCCTAAAAGTAGGTACTATCATTATCTTGCTTTTCCAGATAAGAAAATTGTGGTTCAAAGAAGTTATACAGCCGACAGTGACAGCCATTCTGACTTGTAACCACTATGCTATACTTTGTCTCTCACGTGTAAGTTATATAACATCAATTGTAAACAGTGGTGCAGAATGGCAACATAAATCTCATTTTATTATATACTTATTTTTTGTAAATAATAGGAAGGAAAATCTGTGAACATCAGACAACCTGTGTTGGAGTGGCTCAAATGCGCCAATGCATATTTCTTAATCCACGTTAAGTATTAAGCAACAATACTGTATTGCATGTTTTTGGCATGACTTCTCTTATTCAACATTTCTCAAAAGTTCTAAAATAATACCAGTTTTCCAGTTGTGCTAAGTGTGTTCTTTCCCTTTTCATCTTTTGTCTAGGATGGGGGAAACCATTCTTATTGAACCAGCAGAGGGAGCTGATGCACTAGTGATGTCTAACACACCTAAGACTTAATAAAACTATCTAGGAAAATACTGGAATATTTATGAAAAGGGAGAAGCATGAGAAAAAAAAAATCTTCAGAATCCCTTTTAAAGAAAACTATTGAAATTCTATGGAAATGATAATCTCTGATATGATGTTAAATGTAAGCAGGATTAAATAGGTATTGTTCAAAGTAATATTTCAGGTAAAAAGTTTTAATGTTGGGACTTCCCTGGTGGAGCAGTGGTTAAGAATCCACTTGCCAATGCAGGGGACATGGGTTTGATCCCGGGTCCAGGAAGATCCCACATGTGGAGCAACTAAGCCTATGTGCCCCAACTACTGAGCCTGTGCTCTAGAACCCGCGAGCCACAACTACTGAAGCCCGCGTGCTTACAGCCCGTGCGCCACAACAAGAGAAGCCACCGCAATGAGTAGCCCGCACACTGCAACGAAGAGTAGCCCCCGCTTGCTGCAACTAGAGAAAGCCCAGGCACAGCAGTGAAGACCCAACGCAGCCAAAAATAAATAAATTTATTTAAAAAAAAAAGTTTTAATGTTAACACAAGTTCCACTTTAAACTGAAGGGAATTCATCATTAACAAAATAAACTTTAAACTACTAAATGTTATTACCTAGGTGTCTTTCTAAAAATTTTAAAACAGTAGCAGCTGAGTGACTTAATAGTTAATAATACCATTAATACAATTTTAGAAAACAGAAAAATTTAAAGTTAAAACCAATGACTTGTTTGAAAAACACACACAAAAATTCAGGTGGTTCCTCATAGTTTATTATAACAGGAATATACAGTATTCCATCATTTTTAGAAATAATAAATAAATATCCTAGGGAATATTTTTATGAAGGAAGCTCTTAGATAAGTTGATAATATATATCATAGAAGCTTAAGATAACTGCATACGAACCTTTCCAAAGATGGTGTGCTTATTGTTAAGTTCACCTGCTCGAGCCAGTGTAAAGAAAAACTGACTGCCATTATCATGAGGACCAGCATTTGCCATGGCAACCAGTCCTCTCCGATTAAACCGCAACCGTGAGTGGAATTCATCCTGAAGCATTTAAAAAAAAAAAAGATTTAGTGAATGTCCTCAGTTATAAGGCCCTTCATATTTCAGCTAACAAGCAAGGTCCCATACAACTTCTAACCAAAAATACTGAAGTTTTATTTAACTGATTTTCACATATAATCAAATCCAATATCTACGGTTCCTTCAATTCTATTAAACTTCACTAGCCTGTAAGTATCTTCTAAATATACTCAGCCACAAATTTAGCCTGTTTTGTGGAAAGCTTACTACTTACACAGAGGAAGGGTACTCAAGGGGAATGGATTTCTGAGTCATTTTCCTATTCTTCTCATCCCTCAAAGCCATCTAAGCTTTTAGAACCTTCTATTTTTTTTCTCCAGGATAACTACTTTTGAATCATTACAGAGTCTTCAACTATTCCCTTCCTGACCCCATTCTAAATGAAACAATTGTTTTCTTCTTATTTTTTGATTCAAGGAATCTAGTATGATTATGTTATGTGCTTCACTGTGTTTTTTAAAGTCCTAAGTTGAATCATCTCTGAACTGTCACTGGTCCCATTTGACAGTTTTCAAAAGAGCAGGAGCAAGCCATTCTAAGGTGGTTTTCTTGCTAGGGTAGGGTTATATAACATATACATTAGTCTCTTAGTTAATAGAAGACCTGATACTAGACTCATGTATAATATAGGCATGTTACGTAATCAATGTTTTTCAGAAAGGAAGTTCTGTTTCCTTAATAAATTCATCTCAAGGGATTTGAACTCAAAGGATCATAACTCTGGATACTGTATTAAAAATGACCTAATTGAAAAACTTACCAAGATATCTGTATCATTTGAATATAATAAGCAAAAAATCTCAATTTAGAAAGGAATTGTCACAAAGAGCTATTCTGTTAAAACAAATAACAGAATAAAGGAATGCTTCCTACCAGATGGAGGCTCTAAAATAATGAGATATCTCAATTTTGTAAAATATAAAATAGTCTAACAGTGACATTTGAGACTCTTTTATAACCATTTCACATGCTCTAAGGCCACTATCATATGAAAATTAAAGCAAACAGTTCAAGTATTTTTCTCAAGAATCATACAGTAACCCAGTATAAAATTAAAGGAAATTCCAGATACTCTATCTTATTAGTATAAATTTGAAGTTTTTAAAAATTCACATATTTTAAGAGCTATTGATGCTTACTCATTAAAAGAACATAATAGTGATACCATCAGATTAATAAATAACCCTGGTTTTAGCTTTTACTTAAACCCCCTATCCTTTATATCTTAATTATGACATTAACTCTTTTTTTCTTTTTAGATCTATGTTGGCAGTTAACAAAACACTGACCTATTCTTGATTAAAACCCACACCTCTTCTAACTTTTATGTTGCTTCTTCCTTCTGTTTCCCCTTCTGATTTCTTGTTACAGCATGCATTTTGTGCTACAGAGGTCTATTGTGTACAATTTAAAATGAATTCTGCTATGGACTGAATTGTGTCCTCTCATAGTTCATATGTTGAAGCGCTAACCTACAATGTGACTGTACTGGAGATAGGGCCCATAAGAAGATGAAAAAGGTTAAATGACTTCACAAGAGTGAAGTCCTAATCCAGTAGGGCTGGTGCCCTTAATAGAAGAGGAAGAAACACCAGGACGTTCTCTCTCCACCATGTGAAGACACAGCAAGAAGGCAGCCATTTGTAAGCCAGGAAGAGAAGCTTCACAGAACTGTATGCTAGCACCTTGATCTTGGACTTCCTAGCCTCCAGAACTGTGAGAAATAAATTCCTATTGTTTAAACCACCCAGTCAGAGGTATTTTGTTATAGCAGTTCAAGCAGATTAATATAAATTCTATACAGTGTTAAATAAAATGTTTTAAAATAGGATGGCATATGCAATGTACTAGAAATGTTTTACACATACAAAGTTGCCGAGATCAGATACAGTCAGATATCGGGAAATCTGTTATATAGTCTTTTTTTCTGACTCACATTTTCCTCACTACCACCTTTAGCTCCATCTGAATTCAATCTAGCGTAAAATGTTGTGACAAGACAACTTAGAAAGAATGCTTGATGGGGTAAGTGTTGCTCTTATTCTGTATAATCCTAAATATATGATAGACCCGATTTTGTGCACTAATGTAAAATGCATTTTCTTCTATGGGGCACAATCATTTTTGATTAAGCAATCCAAGCTGACTTGAAAATAGATAAAAAATATTCAGTCTCACCTTGAATGGGGCTCCATAGATAGACTCTCCACCAGTCCCTGTACCAGTAGGATCTCCCCCTTGGACTATAAAACCAGGTACAACTCTATGAAATATGGTATTGTCATAATATGCTGGAAGAAAATAAAAAGAATTTATCATTCTTTTTCTGATTTTTCATTGTTAGTGTAAAGAACTGCAACAGATTTCTGTATGTTAATCTTGTATCCTGCTACCTTGCTGAAATTGTTTATCAGTTCTAATAGTTTTTGTGTGGTGTCTAAGTTTTCTACATAGAGTATCATGTCATCTTCATATAATGACAATTTTACCTCTTCCCTTCCAATTTGGATACCTTTTATTGCTTTTTCTTGTCTGACTGCTATGGCTAGGACTTCCAATACTATGTTGAATAGAAGCGGTGAGAGTGGGCATGCTCGTCTGGTTCCAGATTTTAGCAAGAAAGCTTTCAGTTTTTCACCACTGAGTATTATGTTGGCTGTGGGTTTGTCATAAATAGCTTTTATTATGGTGAGATATGTTCACTTCATACCCACTTTGGTGAGAGTTTTTATCATGAATGGATGCTGAATTTTATCAAATGCTTTTTCTGCATTTATTGAGTTGATCATGTGGTTTTTGTTTTTCCTTTTGTTGACAAAACAATCCCTTTTAAAATCACATAAAAAAATAAAATAAAATATGTAGGAATAAACCTGACCAAGGAGGTGAAAGACCTATATGCTGAGAACTATGAAACATTGATAAAGGAAACTGAAAATGATTCAAAGAAATGGAAAGATATCCCATGCTCTTAGACTGGAACAATTAATATTGTTAAAATGACCATACTACCCAAAGCAATCTACATATTTAATGTGATCCCTATAAATTACCTATGACATTTTTCATGGAACTAGATCTAATAATCCTAAAATTTATATGGAACCACAAAAGACCCAGAATTGCCAAGCAATCCTGAGGAAAAAGAACAAGGCTGGAGGCATAACTCTCCAAGACTTCAGACAATACTACAGAACCACAGCAATCAAAACAGTGTGGTATTGGCCCAAAAACAGATATATGGATCAAGAGAAAGGAATAGAGGGCACACACCTATGGTCAATTGATCTTCAACAAAGGAGGCAAAAATACACAACAGAGAAAAGACAGTCTCTTCAACAAGTGGTATTGGGAAAGTTGGACAGCTGCATGTAAATCAATGAACTTAGAATACTCCCTCACACCAAACACAAATACAAACTCAAAATGGCTTAAAGACATAAATGGAAGACATGACACCATAAGACTCCTGGAAGAGAACATAAGCAAAACATTCTCTGACATAAATCATAGCAATGCTTTCTTAGGTCAGTCTCCCAAAACAAAAGAAATAAAAGCAAAAGTAGACAAATGGGACCTAATCAAACTTACAAGCTTTTGCACAGCAAAGAAAACCATATACAAAGTGAAAAGACAATCTACAGAATGGGAGAAAATATTTGCAAAACATGAGACTGACAGGGATTAATATCAACAATATACAAACAGCTCAATATAAACAAACAAACAACCCAATCAAAAATGGGCAGAAGATGTAAATAGACATTTCTCCAAAGAAGACATACAGATGGCTAACAGGCACATAAAAAGTTGCTCAACATCACTAATAATTAGAGAAATGCAAATCAAAACTATAATGAGGTATCACCTCACACCAGTCAGAATGGCCATCATGAAAAAGTCTACAAATAATAAATGCTGAAGAGGTGTGGAAAAAAGGGAACCCTCCTACACTGTTGGTGGGAATGTAAATTGGTGCAGCCACTATGGAGAACAGTATGGAGGTTCCTTAAAATAACTTAAAATAGAGTTACCATATGATCCAGCAATCCCACTCCTGGGCATATATCCAGAAAAGACAAAAACTGAAATTTGAAAAGATACATGCACCCCATTGTTCATACAGCATTATTTACAATAGCCAAGACATGGAAGCAACCTAAGTGTCCATCAACAGCTGAACGGATAAAGAAGATGTGGTGTATATATATATATATATATATATATTACTCAGCCATAAAAAGGAATGAAATAATGCCATTGGCAGCAACATGAATGGACTAGAGATTATCATATAAAGTGAAGTAAGTCAGAGAAAGACAAATATCATATGATATCACTTATATGTGGAATCTAAAAAATGATACAAATGAACTTAATTACAAAACAGAAAGAGACTCACAGACATAGAAAACATAGAAAACAAACTTATGGTTACCAAAGGAGAAAGGGGTGGGGAGGGATAAAACAGGAGTTTGGGATTAACAGATACACACTATTATATATGTAAAATAGATAAACAACAAGGACCAATGTATAGCACAGAAAACTATATCTTGCAATAACCTATAATGGAAAAAAATCTGAGAGAGAATATCTATCTACCTATATCTATATATATATCTTAATTACGTTGTTGTACACCTGAAACTAATACAACATTGTAAATCAACCATACTTTAATAAAAGAAAAATTTATCAGTGCCTAAAACTAAGTGTATCTATAGTTATCAGAGTAAATACAACTAGTCACAAGATTTTTTCCCCCAGAACGTTAAATAGGCTCCTAAACCAAAATCTTTTCTTCCGTATTATAAAATATCTACTCAAGGGGTTTCCCTGGTGGCGCAGTGGTTGAGAGTCCGCCTGCCGATGCAGGGGACACGGGTTCGTGCCCCGGTCCGGGAAGATCCCACATGCCGTGGAGCGGCTGGGCCCGTGAGCCAAGGCCGCTGAGCCTGTGCATCCGGAGCCTGTGCTCCGCAGCAGGAGAGGCCACAACAGTGAGAGGCCCGTGTACTGCAAAAAAAAAAAAAATCTACTCAAAACAGAACAATTTCTATAGAAACCATGGTAGTGGTTGTTTCGTATCTACTTTCAGGATTCTCTTAAACTCTGGATTACAGTTTTCAAAATAAAAATTGGAGAGTTTTGGTATAGATCTGTGGTTCTCAACTGCGGTGAGGAGAAGCAGCAATTTTTTCCCTAGGGGACACTTGTCAATGTCTAGAAATATTTGGTTTTCACACATGGGAGATGTTACTGGCATCTAGTAGGTAGAGGCCAGGGATATTGGTAAACATCCTAAAAAGCACAGGAAGCCCCTACAACAAAGAATTACTGGCTCAAAATGTCAACAGTCCTGGAGATTGAGAAACCCTCATAGAGATAAATACCTTATTTCCTAATTCTTCCTCTTCTCCCCATAGAAAATTAACTTATACAAACAACATATAAACCCAAAATATATCAAAATTACTCACTGATTATAGGTCTAGCACCATCAATGCACCGTCCTCAAGAAATTTTCAATAAATAAATTAACACAATACATGAGTCCAATTAGACTCTCAGTAAGTTTGCTAACTGAAGAAAATTACTTATATTTATATATAAATATATTAATGGGAAGCTATAAACATACAAGAGAGATCATATATGATCTCCTAATTGATTGAGTTGGATTCAGTTATTGAGCATAGTCATAATTTAATCACATGCTGAGGAATGCAAAGCAAAGAGATAGAAAGAGCATAGTTCACTAAAGTCTTTACTGAGCTGCAGAGCTTCTGGACACCAGATTTCTTATCAAAGAGGATGATAAATGTCTTCATTAATTAAATAATTCTGAGTTGAGTCTTCTATTACTTGAAACTGAACCAACCCAACTCATTCAATGACAGATACTTATCAAGTGCCTACTGTGGGCCAGACAATGTAATGATACAATTACTGACATAATTCATAAAACACCAATTGCATGAGTACTTCGTGATACTTTATTAGTCAAAACATGACTATGGTTTATCATAATTCATAAAGTACTATAATACTGTGGCTTGCAGGCACCCTCATAATTATTTACATTTGCAAGCTATAACTGGAAATAAAATCCACATTTTAAAAAATGTAATCTGTAATCTAACATAGGATGGATTGGAAGAAGCAGAAAGGAAGATTAATGGATTTTTTTCAATCGCTTCTCCCAGTGAAGAGCTGTTAGGCTATGTTCACAAGAACTCCCCAGTACAGACAAGTTCTCCTTGGTTACAAACCAGAAACTATAAAAATCAAGAAGTCTACAAGTATTTCTCCTGTATCCCTAAGTAAACATTTACTCTGATTAAAAATGTATACAGCAGTCAGGAATTCTGAGCCTTGCCTCTTGTTAGCTGTGCAACCTTAAACTCAATTTTCTTTCTTTTTTTTCCTCTCTCTTTTTTTAAATTGAGATATAATTGACACATAACATTACACTAGTTTCAGATGTACAACATAGTGATTCAATATTTGTATATATTGTGAAATGTTCACGGACAATAAAACTAGTTAACATCCATCACCATACATAGTTACAAAATTATTTTTCTTGTGATGAGAACTTTTAAGATCTACTGTCCTAGCAAATTCCAAATATGCAATACAGTATTATTAACTACAGTCATCATACTGCACATGTAATTTTCTCATTATAAAACTAATAATATAAATTCACTCACAGTGCTGTTCTGAAGATTAAATAAGATAATGTGGAGGCAACCTTTAAATTTTCAAGGTCAAAACCAATGTGAGGTCAGACTTTAATATTTTCACTTAAATTCTACAAATCCATACTCAAATTTGAATACTTACCTGAGTCTGTATCAAAAAATAAAAATAATCCTTTATGCCCATAATATGCAATCAACAGTTTTTTTATTATTTTTTTAATTTAATTTTATTTATTTTTTTATACAGCAGGTTCTTATTAGTCATCAGTGTATACATGTCATCCCCAATCTCCCAATTCATCACACCACCACCACCACCCACCACTGCTTTCCCCCGCTTGGTGTCCATACGTTTGTTCTCTACATCTGTGTCTCAATTTCTGCCCTGCAAACGGGTTCATCTGTACCATTTTTCTAGGTTCCACATATATGCATTAATATGCGATATTTGTTTTTCTCTTTCTGACTTACTTTGCTATGACAGTCTCTGTGACAGATTCATCCACATCTCTACACATGACCCAATTTCGTTCCTTTTTATGGCTGAGTAATATTCCATTGTATATATGTACCACATCTTCTTTACCCATTCATCTGTCGATGGGCATTTAGGTTGCTTCCATGACCTAGCTATTGTAAATAGTGCATGCAATCAACAGTTTTTGAGCACATGATCAGATTTACTTTTTCAAAGGATCACTTAAACTCCATAATGGAGAACTGATTGGAAGTAACAAGGTTGAGAGAGAGAGAGAGAGCAACTGTTGTCCTAAGAGTCAAGACCTGACTATGGCTTATTTTGAGAGGCACGGATTCAAGAATTCTCTAGGAAGCAGGATCTATAAGGCTCAGAGATCTATTAGATATGAGGGAAGGGGGACATGAAAGAGGTCTTTATTACTTGTGCTTTCAAATTTTAAAATTACCCATCTTATTTCTTTTTCCTATTTCCTATTAAGTATTTCAGTGATGTTGGATTTTAACTTTAAGCTTTCCTTTATTTTCCTAATTATATTCTTGTTGGATAAATGAAATTATTATACTACTACATATATTGGATAGAAATTTTCTATAATTTCTCTACACCTTAAATTTTGTACTCTATTGTGCCTAGAATTGCAAATTTCCAAATAATTTCCATATCCATTATTTCCAGTTCCTTGTAATTTATTAATAATCACTGTTGAACTATGCATTTATAGTTACAGCTTACCATGTGCTTAAAAGATCTTCCTGCTTGCAATAATGTTTGACGTCCTTCTTAAATGTTTATGCATCATTCCCATAAGTATTTTGAAGGGGTTTTATTATCTCATTATGTGTGTTCATAATATCCTCCTGAATTTTCTCCAGTATTGAAAAAAAGAAATTTACATGTACCTCAAATAGGAAATGAAGTTTCTATTCGGATGCCATGAGTCTGCTATTTGTCATTATGTTTTTTATTTCTGGCTGTACAATGTATGGGTATCATGACATATTTTGACTAATTATATTTCTGCCCAAGTATTAATACACACAGGAATATATATTTGCATTTTAAAATCATATATATCTGGTTCTTCTTCTAGAATTTTGTTTTGCGTTTAATTTTGTAAATATTACCATTAATAACTTTTTATTTAAATCTCCTTTGTGACCTCTCTATTTTAGCCTCTTGGGTTTTTTTAAACAAACATTTTAGTTTTGTAAGATATTTCTTTAAATCTCTTACTATATACTTACGTTTGTAACTTCTAAAAAATTATTAAAACTCTTGTTAAAGGAGGAAGGGGATAAAAGATAACTGATGAAGCACGGACATTCAGGAGACAGGGCTGAGGTAAAATTTCACAGGAGTTAACAGTCACATAAAGTATAAAAATTTGGATTTTCTTATCTACTTCTCTTTCTGCTCCCCACTTTGTTTTTCAGACCTAAAATTCTTCTCCCTCCTCATTCTTCAGAAGAACTAACAAAATTTTCAAAGATAACAAGCTTCCCTTTCCTTCTCTTCTTTTTTAACCTACTTTTTAAACTTACAATTTTTTAAAATTTTCACTCATTTTTAAATGTTTACCTATCTATCCTACAAAGACCTGGAATCCAAGGTTAAGTCTGTGTAACTGTAAATGTTTTGTTTTCATAAAAACTAAAAACTCCCCCCAGACACAGAAAGACAAATACTGTAATATTCCTACTTATATGTGGAATCTAAAGAAGTTCAACTCATAGAAACAGAGAGTAGAATGGTGGTGGCCACAGGCTGGAGGTGATGGGGGAAATGGGAAGATGTTGGTCAAAAAGATACAAATTTTCAGTTATAAGATGAATAAATTCTGGGGATCCAATGCACAGCATGGTGATCTTAGTTAATAATACTGTATTGTATACTAGAAATTTGTACATCTCATGTTCTCACCACATACACTCACACAAAAAGGTAACTATGTGAGGTGGCAGATATGTTACTTAACTTGATTGTGGTAATCATTTCACAATGTATACATATATTAAGTCATACATTGTACACCTTTAAAAAAATCATGTTGTATAATCTAAATATATACAATTTCTGTCAATCATACCTCAGTAAAGCTGGAAAAAAAATACTAAGAATTTCCCTTTAACTGTGAACACCATTTTAGTTGAGAGCCATATCTGAGGCTGTGCTCCCACTTGCTCATTTTTATTTATTTGCTTTTTAATTTTGGAAATCATGTCCTTTTTTTAAAATATTGATATGACCATTACAAGATCTAGAAATACCATAACTTGTTTAAATCATACAATCAGAGAATTAAAATGAGGTTCTCTGAATTAAAATTTTAAAACCTTGACTTTATTCATTTAGGAGCTTTATTAGTTTTCTCAGGCTTCTTGTTAGCCTTTGCAATAATAATTCTATTTCTGACCTATTCAATTAAAAGAATTGTTCTAATTATTTTTTCTTATTATTTTTCTATTCTTTTTTTCTTTCTTATTGTATTCTCATAAATAGGGAAATAATTTTTTAATGTTGTAATTGTTTCATCATCACCTAACTTAAGAACCTTATTTCTTCTTTCATTGTTATATTATATCCAGATGTTTTCTGTTTCTTCCATTCACCTGGTCATGGATTATAATTTACCATTTATTCTTTCTAATGTTTTTGTACTTTCACTCTTCTGTAAAATTTGAGCTTTTGATTCCTCAAAACTTCTTTCCAGAAACAAGTCTTACTTTTCAGTGTCTACTGTGTTTCTCAGCTCTGTTGACAGTTATTTGAGGCTTCTCTGACTGAACTGCCTGTCTGATTCAATTTCCTTCCTGCCTGCCATAGCAATTATTAATAATGGTCTTTACAGATGTCTTCTTTTCTCTTTTTCTTTTTTGTCAGCTCGATTTATTTTTTGTTTTGGAGAGGCGGTTGTTTTTGTTTTGGTCTGGGTGGTTTTATTCCTTAAATCTTCCCCTGGTAATTTTGCTTGTTTAGTTATCTATTTGGAGAACTCTCACTGTACCATACTACTGGTTATTTTGTATTCTCTTTCACATCTTGCTTTTGACTCAAAGTGCTGTTTTCTGATACCCTGAACTTCATTACTCAAATCTAAGAGTTACTAGTGACATTGATAATACCATCACTGAAAGCTGGCTGGAAGGCTTTGTGGCGAAAGTAGAATTTTGAATAGACATTAAAAAGTGGTGGAATTCCCTGGCGGTCCAGTGGTTAGGACTCAAGTGCTTTCACTGCTGGGGCCCAGGGTTCAGTCCCTGGTGGGGGAACTAAGATCCTACAAGTCAGACCGTGTAGCCAAAAAGAAAAAATAAAGTGACTTGAGTAGAAAAAGAAGAGAAGAGAAAGTATTCCAAAAAGGCGAGGGAGGATATGAGAAGATTCAGGATATGAAGGAGGTATGAGTGGAAATGGGAAAGAACTGCTCAGGAAATAAAGATAATAGTCAACTGAAACCATGTGGTTATATGCAATGAAAAATAAAGTTGGAAAGCAAGGAAGCTAAGCTGCCTGAGGATTCAAATACCAGATGAATAAATGTGAGGGTAAAGAGATCGAAGATGAGAAAATGCAAGACCAGGTAAAAGGCAATTACAGTCACATTGGTGACAGTCAAGGCAGTCTGAGGAGGAAACTGGTAAATTTGGTTTTCATCAGTTTAGTTGTAGCTGACAGTAGAAGATTTGAGTAGAAAAGTCCACTAGGCAATTAGATATGTAAATTAGAGCTCAAAAGAGGAGAAATGGCTGGAATTCTATATTTGACAGTCACTTGGTTGGAAGTAACAATTGAAGAGTAAAGACAATAGAGAACTAAAGGCAACCTTAGGGAATACCCATATTTAGAGGATGAAAGAAAGAAGTGAAAACAGCCAAGGAGATCAAAAAAGATCAAAATATTATTTGCCGAGATAAATATCTCTGTTAAAGACATAAAGATTTAAAAAAAAAAGATATAGAGATTTATTGGGGGGAAGGATTTTTATCTCCTCTCTCCATTTCCTGACACACAGCTCAAGATGGTATCATTTATATCAACTCCCAGCATCCATTACCACTATTTAACACCAGTCTTCAATGTTATGGAAAAATACACTGCAGTTTATTTTATTTTATTTTTATTTATTTTTGGCCACACCATGTGGCATGTGAGATCTTAGTTCCCTGACCACGGGTTGAACCCATGCCCCCTGCAGTGGAGGCACAAAGTCTTAACCACTGGACCACCAGGGAAGTCCCTGCAGTTTATTTTTAAATTAACAAAATTTCTCCTACAGAATAAAATTCAAGAATTATGATTACCTTCCAAACAAAGCTGAATGAAATTTCTGCAAGCTTTAGGAGCTTCTTTTGACCACAACTCTATGTCAATATCTCCAGCTGTAGTTTTCAATAAAACCTGTAGAAAGCATACAAAATCACTATGTTAATTGTCATTTTGCTTAATGATGAGTTGATTGGCTGCTCAACTTAAAGTATTCACTACTGAATTTTCAATTTTAAAATAAAAATTAGAAACTTTGCTTGGTTTTTGTTATACTCAAAAAATTTCAAATATTCAGTACAAGTCACTGTACATTTATACCTTTCAAATACCATTTTCAGAAATAATTTTGGCTTTAAGAAAAAATAGCATATATGTTTCTGAATCACAGAAAAAAACCTCATTCATTTAAAAATCAGTAATATAAACTTGTTTTAATTTAAAAAGTGTTCTACAGCATTTCTTCCAATAAAATTGGTGTAGCAAATTAAGAAATTAAAGAACAATCCCATGAAATTACAGCACTGTAGGACAATTTTACAATTACCTTTCAACATATAAACACTCTACTTTTTTATTCAAAATCACGACATTCCTAACTTACAAAGGAACATTCTTAATCTAATTCTGGGTTGTATAATACTAAAATGGTGTGCCTTAAAATTACCATCTACGGTAAATGGAATCCTTTGATAGCCTTCTTTCCATAGCTCATGAAGGCAGTTACTCCTTGGTGCAACCAGCCATCTTGCAGCAACCAAAATCCCTACTGAGCCCACAGGAGAAGACAGGTTATAACAGTCTTATTAATAACCACAAATAACCAAAAAGAACGGAAAGCTCTAAATTTGAACACTGTGGCACAGCTAGAATCCAACTTCTCTAGTATCACTCCCCGCACACACCCACCCCACAGTGGCCAAAGTAGATCAGTGTCAATCTGTGATCAATGGTCAATGATATATGACCATCACCATCACTTTTGCTATAATTGCTTTTCAGTTTCTGTTTCAGAAGCTCAAATTAATTGCCATAATTTATGTAACATTGATGAATTTATTGTATCTTTTTGGGGTTTTACTGGCTACATAGTTCTCTTACAATTATGCTCCATGGGGGTGGAAGAGGTGAAAATATCTATACTGTGGTAGCTTTTAAAATGGTTCTTAACCCTTAAAGAAATATAAAAGAACTAAAAATGCAAATGTGCATGATTTTCTCAATCCATTACACTTCCTCTACAAAAAGAAGGGGACATTTGTTGAGTGCCTTCCAGGTGTTAGCTTCTGTGCCACTTTACATATCCTACCTCATTTAATCCTCACCTACAAGATAGGTATCATTACTCCTATTATACTTATGAAGAAACAGAGACTCAGATAAAGTAAATTTATCCAGGGTCTCATGGTGAACAATTTAAGCCAAAGGCTGTCTACTGCAAAGCCCATGCCTTCTCTATCTCACTGTACTGCCTCCACAAAGTTCACCATAAATTCCACACTATACTGGAAAAACAGCCCATCAAGCTCTAGGGCCCTGCCGCATGTCACAAAATAAATCCCCAAGTTACTCTGGCCACAACTGATTTGGGTAGAGAAAAGTGCCTAAGTCAAAAGCATTCATATATTGGTTGGACATGAGAAAGGCCTTCTAACTTGGCTTGGCATGAAACAACGCCCAAAAGAGATTCTCCATATTGAATGGTGACACACCAATCCAAGTGGATTCTCATTCTCCTGGAAAATATACATGTGGGATGCAAAATGAGAGGCTGAGTAACTCCCTCTACCTCAGATTGTATTATCTAAAACAACACTGTGTAACACGTTTTGATTTTCCACAAGGCCTGATATACATCCCAATCTTAGAAGTACAGTATACATAACAAATGTCCTTCCTACCTCATTATCCCCTTGTATACTTGAAATAAAGTTCTATTGTTAAAGAGAACCTAGACAAGTTTCCATATTTCCTATCCCCTGGCAACCACTAATCTACTCTCTGTCTCTATGGATTTGCCTATTGAACATTTCATATTCAAGCATACCTCTGAGATATTGCAGGTTTGGTTCCAGACCATTACAGTGAAATGAATATTGCAATAAAGTGAGTCACATAAAGTTTTTGGTTTCTCAGTGCATATAGAAGTTATGTTTACTCTATATTGTAGTCTATTAAGTATGCAACGGCATTATGTCTAAAAAGACAATGTGCAAACCTTAATTTTAAAATACTTTATTACTAAAAACTGCCAATCCTCATGTGAGCCTTTAGCAAGTCATAATCTTTTCCCTGGTGGAGGTTTTAAAATATTGCAAGAATTACCAAAATGTGACACAGAGACACAAAGTGAGCAAATGCTATTGGAAAAATGATGCCAAGAGACTTGCTCTTGTATGTATAAGTGAATCACTTTGCTGTATACCTGAAACTAACACAACGTTGTAAATCAACAATACTTCAATTAAAAAAAACAACTGAACAACCAATGGATCACTGAAGAAATCAAAGGAGAAATAAAAAAATACCTAGGGACAGAAATACCACACACCAATCCTTATGGGATGCAACAAAAGTGGAAGCAACCTAAATATCCATCGACAGAGGAATGGATAAAGAAGATTTGGTACATATATACAATGGAATATTACTCAGCCATAAAAAGGAATGAAATAGTGCCATTTGTAGAGACATGGGTGGACCTAGAGATTGTCATACAGAGTGAAGAAAGTCAGAAAGAGAAAAACAAGTATTGTATAATATTGCTTACATGTGGAATCTAGAAAAATGGTAGAGATGAATGTATTTGCAAAGCAGAAATAGAGTCACAGATGTAAAGAACAAACTTATGGTCACCAAGGTGGGGAGGAGTGGGTGGGATGAATTGAGAGACTGGGATTGACATATATACGCTACTATGTATAAAACAGATAACTAATGAGAACCTACTGTATAGCACAGGGAACTCTACTCAATGCTCTGTGGTGACCTAAATGGGAAGGAAATCTAAAAAAGAGTGGATATATGTATATATATAACTGATTCAGTTTGCTGCACAGCAGAAACTAACACAACATTGTAAAGCAACTATACTCCAATAAAAATTAATTTAAAAAAAAGAAATACCACACACCAAACCTTATGCGATGCAACAAAAGTGTTTCTAAGAGAGAAGGTCATAGCAATACAGGCCAATCTCAAGAAACAAGAAAATCTAAAACAATCTAACTTTACACATAAATGAACTAAAAAAAGAAGAACAAGTGAATCCCAAAGTTAGTAGAAGGAAGGAAATAATAAAGATCAAAGTGTAATAAATGAAAAGAGACTAAAAAACAATAGAAAAGATCAATAAAACTAAGAGCTAGTTCTTTGAAAAGATAAACAAAACTGACAAACCTTTAGCCACACTCATGAAAAAAAAAAAAGAGAGGACTCCAATAAATAAAATCAGAAATGTAAGAGAAGTTACAACTGATACCACTCAAACACAGAGGAGCAAAGAGACACTCTGAACAATTATATGCCAACAAATTGGACCACCTAGAAAAAACAGATAAATTCCTAGAAACATACAATCTCCCAAGACTGAATCATGACAAAATAGAAAATCTGAAGAGACCAATTACTAGTAAGGAGATTGAATCAGTAATCAAAAGCTCCCAACAAACAAAAGTACAGGACTAGATAGCTTCACTGATGAATTCTACCAAACATTCAAGAAAGATTTAATACCTATCCGTCTCAAACTCATTTTACAAAGCCAGCATTACCCTGATAACAAAACCAAAGACGCCACAAAAAAAGAAAGTTACAGGCCAATATCCCTGACAAACATATATGCAAAAATTCTCAATAAAACACTAGCAAATCAAATGCAACAATACATTAAAAGGATCACACAGGATGATCAAGTGGGATTTACCCCAGGGATGCAACAGTGGCTCAACATCCACAAATCAACCAATGTATTACACCACATTAACAAAATGAAAGATAAAAATCATATGATCATCTCAATAGATGCAGAAAAAGCTTTGGAAAAAATTCAACATCCATTTATGATAAAAAGTCTCAACAAAGTGGGTATAGAAGGAATGTACTTCAATGTGATTAATGTGATATATGACAAACCCACAGCTAGTATCATACTCAATGGTGAAAAGCTAAAAGCTTTTCCTCTAAGATCAGGGACAAGACAAGGGTGCCTACTCTACCCACCTTTATTCAACATAGTACCAGTAGTCCTAGCCACAGCAATTAGGCAGGACAAAGAAATAAAAGGCATCAAAATTGGAAAGGAAGAAGTAAACTGTCACTATTTGCAGTTGACATGATACTATATAGAAAACCCTAAAGACTCCAGCAAAAAACTGTTAGAACTAATAAATGAATTCAGTTAAATTGCAGGACACAAAATTAATATACAAAAATCTACTGCATTTCTATACAGTAATAATAAACTATCAGAATGAGAAATCAAGAAAAGAATCCCATTTACAACTGCACCAAAAAAAAAGAAAAACCCCAAAAACAAAAAACCTAGGAATAAATTTAACCAGGAGGCAAACGATCTTTAAAATTTAAGACATAGATGAAAATATAAGACATAGATGAAAAAACTGAAAAAGACACAAAATAAGTGGAAAGATATTTTGTGCTCATGGATTGAAAGAATATTGTTAAAATGTCCATACTACCCAAAACAATCAATAGATTCAGTGCAATCCCTATCAAAATTCCAATGGCATTTTTCACAGAACCAGAACAAATAATCCTAAACTTTGTATGGAACCACAAAAGACCCCAATTGGTCAAAGCAATCTTGAGAAAGAATAACAAAGCCAGAGGTACCATGCTCCCTGATTTCAAACTATATTACAAAGCTATAGTAATCAAAACAGTATGGTATTGGTATAAAAAAACACATAGATCAATGGAACAGAATAGAAAGCTCAGAAATAAACCCACACATACACAGTTAATTAATTTACAACTAAGGAGGCAAGAATACACAATGGGGATAGGAGAGTCTCTTCAATGAACTATGCTAGGAAAGCTGGACAGATGCAAGTAAAAGAGTGAAACTGGACCACTATCTTACACCATATATAAAAATAAACTCAAAATGGATTCAAGACTTGAATATAAAACCTGAAACCATAAATATTCTAGAAGAAAAGATAGGCAGTAAGCTCCTTGACACTGGTCTTAGCAATTTTTTTTTTTTGTATCTGATCCAAAGGCAAGGGAAACAAAAGGAAAAATAAACAAATGGGACTACATCAAACTAAAAAGCTTCTGCACAGCAAAGGAAACCATCAATGAAATGAAAATACAACCTACTGAATGGGAGAAGATATTTGCAAATTATATATCTGATAAAGGGTTAATATCCAAAATGTAAAAAGAACTTATACAACTAAGTAACATAAAAACAATCTGATTAAAAAAGGGGTATAAGGATCTGAATAGACATTTTCCCAAAGACATACAGACGGGCAATAGGCACATGAAAAGATGCTCAACACCACTAATCATCAGATAAATGCAAATCAAAACCACAATGAGGTATCACCTCACACCCAACAGAATGGCTATTATTAAAAAGATAAGAAATAACAAGTGTCGGCAAAGATGTGGAAAAAAGGGAACCCCTGTGTACTGTTGGTGGGAATATAAACTGGTGCAGCTACTATGGAAAACAGTGTGGAGGTTCCTCAGAAAATTAAAAATGAACTACTGTACGAACCAGCAATTCCACTTCTGGGTATTTATCTGAAGAAAATGAAAACACTAACTAGAAAAGATATATGTGCCCCTCTGTTCACTGCAGCATTATTCACAATAGCCAACATATGGAAACAACTTAAGTGTCCATTGATGTATGAATATAAAGAAGATACACACTAGAATACCACTCAGCCATAAAAATGAAAGGAATACTGCCATGTGCCACAACATGGATGGAGCTTGAGAGTATTATGCTAAATAAGTCAGACAGAGAAAGACAAATACCACATGATTTCACTTACATATGGACTCTAAAACACAAAACAAACAAAACAAAACAAAACCTAGACTCTTAGATACAGAGAATAGACCAGTGGTTGCCAGAGGAGAGAAGGAGTGGAGGTAGGTGGGAGGTGAGTGGGTAGAATGGGTGAAGGGGATCAAGAGGTACAAACTTCCAGTTAAAAAATAAATAAGTCACGGGCATGAAATGTACAGCATGGAGAATACAGTCAATAACGTAGTATTAACTTCATATGCTGACAAGTGGTAACTAGACTTATTGTGGTGACCATTTTGCAATGTATTCAAACGTCAAATCATTATATTGTAACACAAAACTAATATAATAGTGTATGTCACATATACTTCAATTAAAAACAACAGGGATAATAATATCCTCATAGGTTCGTTGTAAGGACAAAATGAGTTATTATACACAGACTGCTTAGAACAGTACCTGACAAATAGTAAAAGCTCAAAATATGAGAGCTATTATTGTTGTAAATATTATTCTTATAAAATTTTTTGACCACAGGAAACTTATTCCCAGTAAAAAGAACGCATATATGGTTGGGCCACCTTGTCTACCAGGTTTTCTTAATCTTTTAAGAAGATTAACTACTGAATTAAAAAAAAAGGCACATGGCTCCTCCTTTGGCCATGCATTCCCATTAGCCATAACTACTATGTCAAGCATCAGTGGCTCTTTTTCTTAAAGCTTACAAGCAAGACAATACTTTGATAATAAAATGTCTCTTAAGAATAAATATATGGGTTAATATAAAATTTAGATTAAATCATCATAATATGTGGAAATTTCATTTTCAGTAGATAAGAAAATTTCTGTCAAGGGTTACATTTCTGTGCCTCATCCTCAAAGGCCAGAGTTATAACATAACACAGCATATTTACAGACTACTGCCAGGGGTTAACCACCGGTATAATGTGTCAATTACTTCCCAAGTTGATACTATACTCTTTGAAGAGAGAAATTTTGTCCCACATATTTGGAATATCTCTGAATCCTTTCAGTACCTAATGTAGCGTTAGACAGTACAGCCACTAAACAAACATTTCATTAAGGAAACTTTTTATTACATCTGCTTTAAATTCCTTCCAGGCCAAAATTCTTGCCATGCTCTCTACGGTACAAAATTTTGAAGCCTCAGTGTCTTCAATCAGTTTTATTATGCTGGAAAAAGTCCCAAACTGGTTTTGAAGGAAAACTTGGGCTATGCCTCATATTCTCCCTCAGCCCAATTCTGTTCAGAAGGACAATATTCACCACAGTTTGCATACACTTATTTGCACGATTATTTCACCACGGTATATTTCACTCAACTTACTCTCTGATAATAGGGACAATGCTGGTTTTCCTTTCCATTGTGTCCCTAAAACCTAGCATAGAGCCTGGCCTATGCTAGGTGCTCAGTAAATATTTGTTGAATGAAAGATTTCTGTTCAGGCATATATCTTTGTTAAAGCTTCTCATCTTTATGACCATGTTGAATCTTCCTCCAGAGTAAAACAACTAAGTCTGCCCTTGACAGTAGAAATATAACCTCAAACTCACTGATGCTTTGTACTTCTCAGAAGTTAAGAGAAATACAGTATTAATTCATCCACCCATTCATTCAGTACATATTTGAACTGCTGCTACCATGTGTCAAGCACCATTCTAGATGTCTGTCTCTGCCCTCATAATGCTCATTCCATGCGCGAGAGTAGTGGAGGACGATACAACAATAAAAAATAAGTACTGAAAAAGAAAAAAAGTACTGGAGAAAAAACTAAAGAGGTTAAGGAGGCCAGGGAATGCTGGAATGCAGGATATGAATGAGGTTTGCTGTATTATAGAGAGTTGATAGGAAAGCCCTCTCTGCTAAAATGTCATTTGAGCAGGCTAGAGTATACTACAGAAAGGAAAAACAAGTGTGAACTTCCTGCCTAGCAGGATGGGCAATGTATTCCATCTCTACCAGTGTTTATCAACTGGGGGTGATATCACTCTCAAGAAACATTTGGAAGTAAGAAGAGATAGATATTCTGGGTTTTCACAATGATGTAGGGTAGGAGTGAGGAGGGGGAAAAGTGCAAACAGCAGAACTGAAAGAATTGCTCTGCCCAAAATACCCACTAAAATGTTTGCTGGGGGTATCATTTACAGCATTTTTGCTTTTGTTTTCAAACTGCTCTCACTGTATTACAAAATGTAAATAAACAAGATTGCAACATAATTGTATCTGATACAAATTCAGTTTATCCTAATTCACCTCTATGCTTTCATTCTCATTTTATTTTCTCCATTATGCTGGTTCATCATATTTTGTGTGTGATACAGACTAGGTCCCAGTTCAAGAATTCAAGTGATACTCATTCCATTATTGACTGCCTCATACTGCATATAAACACTTTGAATAGGAATTGACATACCTTGACCATCAAAATCAATCAGGAAATTATTCTCTCATTCTAATGTGGGAACATTTTCCACTCCTCACTTTCTCTGACAAAGACCAGCTCAAATGACACTTCATCCATGAAGCCTTTCCCTACTTTCCCAGTTGCTAACTTCTCAGTACTACCAAAGCAATATGCTCCTCTCTCCATTAGAACGCCTACCAAACATATAAGGTTTTTCTTTACCTGCCTGCCTCTCAAACTAAACCATTAGCTCTTCTAGGGCAACAACTAGGTTTTATCCATCCATCTTTATATCCCCAGCACCTGGTGCCTAGTAGGCATTCAATAAAGGACTGTAGAATAAATGGAGAAAAGGCGATCTCCAAATTAAGCAAAAACAAAAAAAAGTCAATTTATAAAATATACTTTGCTTTTTACCTACGACCCTAGAAAACGCCTGCAGAGTTAGGTTGAAGCCAAGTAGGGCCAGGAGGTTGGTAGATGGAGGAATCTCCACTTGAGGACTTTTTCAATTACGTGCTGAGAAGTGCCAGTATATGGCTTTCGATGCAATCCTGTTCAGAGGCAGGGGTAAGGACAAGACTTTTAATCTCTTCCAACCCTAGGACCCCAGAATTCCTTTAACCAGTGAGATATCGCTTTGGGGAGCCCAGGTACCCTAGATGACGCTCACCTTCCCGTTCGTGGGAGGCTCCTGGATGTAAATGTTGCTCATGCTGGTCAGCGCTCAGGACTCTGCTCCTAAGTGGGGATGAGAGCGAACGGTCGATACCTAAAGCTGTCCACCTATCGGTACACGCTTCCTTAAATCGGGAGGTCGTGGAAAGCTGCAACCTGTCAAAATCCCGCAAGGCAGCGACACCAAACGCTCTCTTTTCCTAAAGCTAGCGCCTCACGGATGCTGCCATGTTGCTCCCGGACCCAAGCACCGCTAATCCTGAGAAGGGGGAATTCCAGTAGCCTGCAGGGAATCGAGAAAAAGATTATTAAGCCCCTATAGATTAATTTAATTTGCATTACAATTTTTAAGACTACAATTCGTAAGTCTTTGTGTTGTTTACTTCACTCAACGCGTGTGCAAATCCATTAAACCCCTGGAAGCTGGCAGTAATGGTTCGGACCGAGTGAGCCTACAATACAATTCCCCCAGAAACTAGAGCAGCAGCTACTTGGTTCCGCTATCGCCGGAGACTTTTAGGGCCTTCCCAGACTGTCACCTGGGTGCCGCGGCGCCGGTGGGAGGAAGAAGCCGTCCTAGCTGTGTGTTGTCCTCGCGGCCAGCGGGAAGCGAGCGCCCTCTCGAAAGCCCAGGGGTCCCGAGACCCCTCTTACCAGCGCCATGGCAGTTCCAGGTAAAGACCCAGGGTCTGGGCGAGGGAGGGAGCGGGTAGGGTAGGGTGCAGTGCGCTGGGGTAACGAGTAGAGCTCAAAGGCGAAGGCGTTAAAATTAGCAGGTTCGCTTGGTTTACGGGAAAAAGTTTACAGTCCAAAAATAAACTCTGAAGGAAAGACAGAAGGAAAGAAACTATCTCCCCCACTCCAGTCAGTCTCGCAGGGCACCGGATGGACCACAGGGAAAGTATATATAGTGTGGAGGAGGGGGAGGGGTGTTGCAGACAGATTAGAAACTGTAGGCCTAGGAGGCAGTTGGCCGAGGAAAACTGACCTTTAGTATGGTTTGAAAATAAAATTTGAGGTGGCAACACCTGCGAACCCAAGTAGCCAGAGGCACTGTTTGTACTGGAAGGGCCAAAATGGGCGTCTGGGGTTCTACTTCTCTCTTCCTTGTTGTATGTAGTTGCTGTGTGGCCTTGGACCGGTCGCTTTGCCCTTCTGGGCCTCAGTTTCTGAATCTGTAAAAGGAGATTTTTTGATTTATGCGTATGGTTCCTTCCAGTACTGGTTGCAGGAGATATTTTGAGAAATATACACCACTCCCCCCGGCCCCCCACTCACACAACTTGGAGATTCACAATGCCTATAGTATAAAAAAGATGCTGCGAATTGCTGTGGTTCAGAAACAACTTTGTTTCCCAGTATTATTTGACCACGTTTGTTCTGTGGCAGCCTTTACTGAACTGTATTTTACAGATAGCTGTTATGGGAAGGTAGTGCTGTTCTACCAACTGCAGTTTTAGGAGGAGCACGGCGGGTGGGGGGGGGTGGGCATTGTAGGAGAGGAAAGATACACTTATTCATACACATAACTTTTTATTAAAGGCGTACTGCATGCTAGGCTCTGTGCTAGGCACTGGGAATACAGTTGCCTTTCACACAGAACTTACAATTTAGCAGTGAAAAGAAAGTACCAGAAAGTCTGATAAGTGTAAGGCAGGGAAAATACAAACACTTGAGCACATAGTAAGGGCACCTAACAGGAGACTGGAGGGGCCAGAAGGACTTTCCAGAGGATGTGGCATTTAGGATGAGACCTGAAGAATTGTGGAGGGGGAGTTGTAGCCAGAGGGACTGGATATGTAAAGGAAGAAGAAATGTGTCAGAAGACGAAATGAAAGATGTGCACTATGGATGGAACTAAGAATACAAATGGAAGAGAAGTGAGAAATTAACTAGAGTGATAACAGTAGCTAATATTTACTAAGCATTTACTATGTGTCAGATGTGTCAGACACTGTCAAGCATTGTATTTTATCTCATTTAACATTTGCACCCACACTGTGAGTTCAGTGTTACTATTTCCATTCTACAGGTGAGCATACTGAGGGACAGAGAAATCAAGAAATTTGACTGCGATAGCTAGGAAGTGACGGGTCACTCTGGCTCCTCTAGACCCCATGTGCTTATCCATTTTGCTGTGTTTTAGTATAACTTACAGGGCAATTTCCAGTTCTTCCAGGATGTTTTAAGCCATGACAAGGAGTTTGGATGTTTTCCTAAGGACCATAGTAAGATATTTAAGGATTTTTAAACATATTCACATTATGGAGTAGAGCATTCTGGCTGCCCAGTAGATTGAAGGAGAGCTAGTTTGGAGACAGGGTCGCCAGTTAGGAGTAACTCTGGTAAGCTGTGATGATGCCTCAGGAATGGTCTCGTTAGAAAAGGAGAGAAGCAGATAGGTTGGAGATATATTTCTGGTGGTAGAATCACTGGGAATCAACGATATATTCACTGTAGGTGAGTAAGATTGGAAATGAGGTATACCTGGGTTTCACTGTTAGTGGGGCTGGGTGGGGCTATTTACTAATATAGGCAACACCTGAGAAGGAACAGCATTTAGGGGGGATGATGATGACTTCAGTTGGGGCTTGTGTTGAGATGTACTCAAGGAATGGAAATATCTAAGAGTAAGAGATAGGAATGGAAATATCTAATAGACACTAAGAGAGAAAATTTGTAGCTTAGGAAGGAAGCCAGAATCAAAGAACAGTTTGGTATCATCCACACATGTAATAGGCCATGGGAATGGAAGCCTTTGCTCAGGTGGAGTGCATAGAGTGTGAAGGGAAGGTCTGTGGCTGGAGCCCGGAGAGTATCAACATGTAAGGCGCCAGCAGAGGAAGTCCAGTCTGCACAGTAGATTGCCTAGGCATCCTGATAGGCCAAGTCAGCCCTGATGACTTTGGCCACACACAAATGCATCCAGAGTTGACTTGCTGTCACTGTTGGTTTCATTATTTGAGCAAGCATTTTGAGCATCTACAGGGTATAGGTATGTCACAACCTGTGTCCTCATAAAACTTAAGTCTAGTAATGAAAATGTAATGTGCTGCTTAAGAAAGAAGACAAAAGTGATTTTTTAAGTCCTTATTGAAATTCCCTTAAACTTAGACTAGTGTTATAGATATGTTAACCTTCTTTCAATTCAAAATAATGCTTCAAAGTGTAATAATCTTAAATTGTGCCCTTAAGGTAGATGGTAAGACATAGATAAACTATTTAAACCCAGAAAAAATTGAAATAATAGGCATGAAAGCACTGTAAAAGTACAATGCAGGTGCCATTAGAAAATACAGAAAATGTTAAGGTAATTTCTTGGATGATTGATCCAGGCAGTGTATTACAGGAAAATAGGGCTCCATCAGAAATCTTTGGAGATAATCATCAAGAAGGACAAGAATGCTCTTTTATTTTTAGGTATACTGCTCATATGGATCCAGCATGGCATTTTTTGGGTGGTTCTGCTAGTGATTATTACAAGGTATGACTATAAAGTACTGAGGTTGCTTTCTACAAATGTTAATCAGCCTCATCTATTTTATGGTCACCTACTTTAGCTGTTTTTCCATAGCAGTGTGTGTAACTATTGTGTAGGTAACACAGTGAAATGTGTACTCTGTTACTTAGAGAAATCATAGGCTTATAGTTGTTATTAAAGAAATGACATTTAAAGACACTGAAACTCAGTGAAGTTTACTTTCTTTTAAAACTGCTTTTACCATTCACAGTTGTTGAAATTAGTTCTGACATTCATGTTAATAATTAACCGTTCCCAATGAAGAGTTACCTGGCACAAGTGGCAATGTATGTTATTGATGTGGTTGGCAGGAAAACTTTCTCTTTCTCTCTCTCTCTGTCTCTCTGTCTGTCTCTGTCTCTCTCTCCCTCTCTCTCCCTCCCTCCCTCCCTCCCTCCCTCTCTCTCTCTCTCTC